GAGTATTTAGATGGGGAAGTATCAAGACTTGTTCAGTTTTCACATGTCCCTTCAAAGTCACAAGACATGTCTGTGATGTTAAGTCAACAATATGTTTCAGCAAAAAGAGCAATACATCCCAAGTACAGCAGTTCCTTTTAATCCTTGCTCCTCTAAGTCTGGAAGAACACTGAAAAAAGTCCCAGTAAGTATCTGAGGTCACATTCACTAGTACTAATTCACTTCGCTGTCATTTGCAAATATCAGAACAATATGATGTTAACAAGATTGAAATCGGCTTAATATTAGTTTAAAAACAGCAACCACATCAGTTTCTATTTTTCTGGGAGGAGCAAGGGCCAATCACATTATGAAAACCCATATTTGATGTTTCTGCTCTTTAAGTGCTACTTTTATCTTGAACTGTGTTGTTGTTGCGTATCCTGGCCAAAGACAACCTGCAATGAGCCTGGGGTTCAGCTGATACACCATATTTTACATCCTTTCTTGTGACATTTTCAGATTAGAAATAAATTTGAAGATTATATTTTCTGAAAGACATCCGTAGGCATTAAAGAGATGGACATCTCACATTGTCATGGGGAAAAAGACCATTGATACTATTACCATACTCACATGACAGTATCAACTCAGCAACTGATTTGCCACAAATTACAAGCATTGCCAGTCTTCAAAGTAAGTTAATAAAGCTTTCAAAAACTTTAATATAAATTAAGCAGAAGAGAAAAGGCAACCTAGATCCTATTAATGAGAAATAAAAATCATTGGAAGGCTCCCCTACAAAAAGTGGGGATGTGGGGAGATGAGGAAAAAAAAAGAAAATAAAAAGAAAAAAACCTTAGGATATCAGACTGGCTGAAGAAACTTGTAAGACTTCACTACTRCCCTTTTTTTRTTACTGCCAGCRCCAATAGATGTGCCAGCAACAAACAGTTCATTATTTCCAGAAGGAGTAACAGGGCTTCCTTCCTTTACTAGAAAAGAGGCTTTTCTAATTCATGCTAATTGCTTCTAGAATAATCTTGACACTCCTCAAAAATGTGTGTTCTTAGACATATTTCTCAACCATCTGATTCAAAGTGGGTCCATGGGTCCTTTGCAAACATTACAACTCTTAAATAGTGAGTCTGTGTCTTAGACCACTGCAATTTCTCCACAAGGGCAGCATGGAAACTCCAACAGCTTCTCTCACACCTCCTATGGAGCAGAACTACAAAAAGTTTAAATATTTCAGCTTAATCAAYACCACACTGTCATTCCACGGTAGTTTTTTTAAAACCACGACCGAGACTCCATTTACAACTAGGTATAAGCTACTCTCATTGCAATTCCCAACGAGTGAAACTGGCTTACTTTCATTACATTTCAGTCATAAAAGRCTGTGCCAGTTGCAGGAGGCAGCTCCATTCAGCAGCGAACTTATTACCAATGGACACACCTACCCGGGCTGTACTTCTGCTGATTCTGCTTGAGCTCTCATTGAATGACTCACCAGCTCCATTTTAGTCAGGAGCAACTGGACAGTCCACTTTAACAAGTTCAAAACCACACAGAAGATGCACTTAAAGCTATCCTGTGCTAAAGGTAAATATCAACAGCTATGAAATGAAAAACCTCTGGAAACATAACCATTCGAAAAATCCAAAGGATTCTGATGCAGTTTCAGATTACTCAAGAATATTTCTAGTTTAGTGATTAAACAAGATTGCCCGAGTTTCACTACAGACTATGACTCAAATTCAGAAAAGTCACAACTCTGAAATGYGTGCATACCTCACAAATGTGTCATCAGGCCTAATTAGCTTTTGGAAGAGCTTTGAGATCCCTCGTTTACAGACAGCTGGTAATGTCAAGCACACCTTCAAAGACGTTTTTCAAAACCCAAGGTAGTTGTTACCAGCTGTTTAATAGGCACAGCCTGAGATGTAGCTAAAAATTCAACTAAATCAATAAAAGGTGTCTTACCTGAAATCAAAGTAAAACCAGTATTATTGTAATAACCATTCATCCTCAAAACTCCTATTTCAAGGTTTCAGTAAATGGACATAATGASCTATTAAAAAAACTCCAGCAAATGCTTTCTAGGTATTTGCCAAGAATATAAAAATCTCAAAATTTTGAAAAGGTATAATCATGCAATACCATTGAAGTGTATTTTAAACAACTGCTTTCAGATATGTGCCAGATGCAGGTTTGATACAGATGAGAAATACTTTCAGCTACACTTGTTGTAGACTAAAATACATGTTTCCCAAAGTCTGAAAAATACGTATAACATTTGGAGTAACACCACCTTTCTAAAGAGCATATTCAAAAACTCCGAATTAAGCACAGCTCGGGTGAAAAAGCTGTGTTTGTTCCCACATTTGACAAATTACAAACCAAGTCACAAAATACACTGGTTGCTCAACTAATGACAATGATAAAAGTCAGCCCTTATTGAACTCTGTCAATACAAAGGAGAAGCAGCATCTGAATCACCTTCAGCTTATGCCCTGACATTAATATATCACCATACTGACCTGTGCTAACCCCTTATTTTTCCTTTGAGAAACTGTACCACTCATTTTTATTGAATGAAAGCAAARTATGTCAAAACAAGCATTCAAATTGTCTCATCCTAAATGGCTGAATAAATCAAAAGGTCTCTGAACTGAAAGAAGCGATAACAGGTGGAATATCTGTCTATTAAGAAGATGTGACAATAACTTTTACTACTTACATACAGATACCATGGGTACACCAAAGTCTGATCTGATAATGGCTGTATACTAAAGTTAATTCTGAAAGCCAGTTAAATCTAATTGCTTGAAAAGTTTGTAATCGAAGTTTCTTCAATTTAAGCTTTCATACGCTTGAAAATAGGACCATTATAATAGAAAGTCCTTTACTTAACTGTACTTGAAATCATGTATTTTCTAGTCAACCATAAAAATAACTATTTTTAATTGGACTCCATAAAACGCAGAACTAGTCACATTCGGCTCTTTTAGTRAAACAGCCTCCAAATGGATCACACTGCGCTCCCAACATGACCAAAATTACACAGAAAGTTTCTTTACCGATATAACWTAAAAGAACCACCAGCACTTCGCAAAAAAAAACCCCAAGTTTCATAAAAACAAGACTTGGGAAACAATTTCAGAGAGTTTAGTACGAAGAAACATAGATGAGAGCACAGCTCGGGCTCCAGCTACATGMGGAAGAAGTATAAGAAGGCCTAAGTAGTTTTGTGCCCTCCCTGCACGTGACAACCCAGCCATGGTGTTTTAACAAACGCTTCGGCCTGGACGCCTATGAAACTACCCAGCCACGCCGGTGCGTCCTACTTCCTTCTCCCGGCCTCCTAACCACGCACTCATCACACACACCCAGCTCCTGCGCGGTTATTAAAAGGTGCTAATGACTGCGATGTTTTCCTCAAGCTACCCTTCATCTCGGACGGACGTGAAATGCCGTCCGCACACTCATCCAAAACCCCCTCCACGGGAGCGRAGGCAGCCCCGCCAAGCCCCGAGGGCTCTCCGGGCGCTCCCCCGCCCATCACCGGGGCCCCGCGGCCGCTCTGAATCCGCGGAAGCGCCTCCCCCCCGCTCCTCCGGCCGCCACGAGGCGCGGGCGGCCCGGGCCGCATGTGAGCGGCGGCCCCGCCGCCAACTTCCCCCCGCACCCCGCCGGGTCCGCCCCGTCCCGGGCGGCAAAATGGATGCGGGGCGGCGGCCGGGGCGGGGGGCAGGGGACAAACATGGCTCCGCCGCCGCCCGCGGCCCGGCACTCACCGTCGGCGGGCTGCTGGAAGTTGACATAGGCGTATCCGAGCGAGCGGCGGGTGATCATGTCCCTGCAGACGCGGATGGAGAGGATGGGCCCGGCGGGGCTGAACTTCTCGTAGAGCATGGCTTCGGTCACGTCGGGGTGCAGGTCCCCCACGTAGAGCGAGGCCATGGGGTAGCTGGGGGCGCTGGGGTTCATCCTGCCGCCGTCTCCCGGCGCGGGGGGGGCGCTGACGAGGCGGAGGCCGCGGCGGTCGGTGCGAACGGGGCCGGCGAACGCGGCGCGGGGCCTCGGACTCAACGGCTGCGGCGGGTGCGGCGGATGGGCGGGCGGGGGTCGAGTCGCTCCGTGCGGGCCGGGCGGAGCTGGCGGCGGCGGGTGCTGCGCTCGGCAGGGTCGGGCTCGCTGTGTGTCTCCTCTCGGCTGCGCCGGGTCCGGGGACTTCGCTTCACCGGGTTATTTTATATCAAACCGGCCGTTTGCAGAAAGGTTGTCGGGAAGGTTGGATGAGGAGAGAGGATTATTTTTTTTAAAAGGTTTTTTAAGATTTTTGGATTTTTTTTGGCTTTTTTAAATATTTTTTTAGTAATAAATGGTGCTGCGGGGCCGGGCCGGCGTGTCCGGATGGTCCGGAGCACACGCACTGCGCACACAGCTCCGACGGCGGCCGGGGGACAAGGGGGCGGCCGCCGCCCCGGCCGCGCTC